CGCTGCAAACGCCGAAGCACGTAGACACAATTTGGCAATGGAAAGAGAAGCACGAGGAGGTTCGGGAGTAGGAGATATATTAGGGACGGTTAAAGAATTCGGACAAAGATTTGGCGAAGAAACCAAGAAAACCGTTAAAGAGGGATTAAGCAAATTAATAGATAAAATCGACACTGGAAAAATGAAGGTCAAACACAAGGGCGACGCCATATTTTTTAAAAACATACGTTCGGGCGAGGGAATCTTCCTTTCAAAGTATAAAGGCAACGGGGTGATTTTTGGTACGAAAATGTAATAAATAAAAATGGGCAAGAAATTTAATCATTCGGAAATATTTCCTAATAACCCAATGCTCATGTGTATATGCGGTAGTTCTGGTTCTGGGAAAACTCATCTCACTTTTAACATGTTGACAACACCAAACCTTTTAGATTTCGATTCTCTGTATATCTACACAACAACACCAGAGCAATCGTATTATCAATTCCTCAAAGCTTTAGAATATTTACCAAAGAAAGACGTTCAAGACATATTTCAATATTACGAGGAAAACGAAGAAGAAGTGGAAATAAAAGATATCATAGAAAACTTCATTAAATCAAAGAATCCATCTTTCAATCCAACGGATATAAAAGTTTTTCTTACGAAAAATGTTAATGATCTAGACTTGTCTAATATTGATAGCAATCGAAAGAACTTAATATTGTTTGACGACTGCGTAGCGCAAAGAAATCAAACTGTTCAACAAGAATTCTTCACCAAAGGAAGACATCACAACTGTCACTGCATATACCAATCCCAATTTTTTTACGGAATGGATTCTATGTTCATTAGAAAAAATGCAAATTGTTTTTTATTATTTGAATTAAACGATAAAGATTTATCTCAAATAATTCAGTCTATAAATCACGGAATGGATAGAGATACATTTAAAAAGGTTTGTAAAGCTCAATGGAGAAACCCAGATGATCATGGATATGTATTTGTAAATACTAGAAAACCTGCGGGAGAAAGAGTTATGATCGATATATGTTAATTTTATTTTTTTAAAAATGACGGATTGGAATAATTTTTTAAAATGAAATAGAGAATATATCAAAGCTAAGAATAAAATAAAGACCCAAGTTGAAAATAACAGATTACAACAACTCGGATTAACAGAAAATCTACAAACTCTATTTCCCATATTAAAATCTCAAGAGGATATTAAAAAGAAATTAGCTTTAGAACCCACGCCTCATATAGAACCCAAACCGATTGAATATAATGGTATTATAATTAGGACATTAGTTGATATAAAACGTCTTTTTTCAAACCCTGACCCAGATTTACCAAAGAGCATTTCACCAATCATTGATGAAGTGGGGTTATTGTTTAATGGTTTTAGAATAAGATTTAGTGGAAATTCACCACAATTCAAAATCGACACAAAAGACTTTATATTTACATTAACGAGAGGATTAATAGATTTAATGAATGGCGAGGATGTTGAAATTGCCGATTACAAGGATTTAGTAGCATACTCAAAATTTCTACATGCGATCAGAAAGTCAGGACCCGAAACAAGAAGATCGAAAGAAGTTAAACTATATAAAAGAGTAATTGAGCAAGAGGATGTAGATGATTATCCAATCATAGAAGAAATAGACGAATTCGATGATATGGTGGCATCTGGGCAAGGTATAACGTTTTTATCCGACAACAATAAAGAATTGCTTAATAGATTAGAAATAATATTAGCGGCCATGAAAGAAGGTCATCGATCGGACAGACAATACAACGAAGTCAATGCCATATTAAAACGACTTTTGGAGAAAGAAATCATCACTAAAAAAGACTATATAAACGTCATTAAAAATGTCCAATAAAGAACAATTGTTCGTTATCACCTCGAATAAACCAGACATCAAATTGTCTCTAGACTACGAGTATGAACTCGATCGCAATAAACAGTATGAACTGGGATTAAAGTATTTCTCCGTTTACAATTCCATTAGAAACATCAACGAAAAAAACAATCAACTAAAAATATCGACGGATAACGGAGTTACGTTCGAAACCATAAGCTTACTACCGGGGAGCTACGAATACGTAGCCATCAACGATTACCTATCCGAATACGCAGGAAGCGTGAACGGCAAAAACAATATCGAATTCGAAGGTAATTTGAATCTGAACAAAATAAAACGGATCTTGAGAAATAACAGTTAAGTCGATTTCAACGTAGAAAATTTGTTGAATGCGTTACTAGGGTTCGATAAACGAATATACGCGCAATCGACATTGGCGCCGCACAAGGCCAACATCGAGAACGACATCGACGTGATCAACATTCACTGTAATTTGATCAACGGTGGATTTTTCAACAAGCACAAACGCCAAATCATATACAGCATACCGACTTTTACGGTGCCGATCGGATACAGAATTATACAGAAACCGTTTCAAACGACCTATTACCAGTCAATTCTTTCATGATCAAAGATATAAATCTGGAAATCAAAGACGGTAAAAACAGGTTCATAGACTTTGGCAACGAAGAAATTGTCATTCAACTTCATTTAAAACAATCTTCATTCTCTTCTTGATTAGAAAGATAATCGAAATCATCAAATTCATAGTTTTCGTCAAAACTATACTCATCTTTGTCGTTGTAAGGATACATAATTCCTTCACTGTTTGGTGGTTTTCTTTTAACATTATTCAAATAACTTCTAAAAACTTTAGTTTGTTTATCATTTGGAATAACTACTCCATTGGTGAAACTTTTTTCCTATGGTTTATTAAATTCGTTTGACACATCATGTCCGCTTGCTAACTGAACGTAATCTTCTACACTTATCTTATCATTAGAATAACCTTTAAACGTTTTCTTTTCTTTTAAAACACCATCAGAAGTTAGAATGATGTTGTATTTGACTTTTGGTGCTAAATATAAACCAAATATAATTCCACCGTCACCGTAATCGTTTTTACCTTTGCAATAGTCTTTTTCGGAGACCAAACCAGCTCTGTTTAGTTTTTTCCAATTGTTGGATGAAATGTACAAACTATCGGTGTCGGTATAGTACATTTCGGGTTTAAAAAATCCATTTATGACGTGAATGAAATTGTTCATTATTTTTTTACTGTGAGATAAAACGAATGATCCCAAATGACTAGGTGTTAGTCGTGTAGATTTAGTATCTTCGGTAGTAATCTCTTTTTCTTCAATTTCCGTTTCAACAATATATTGAGTATCATTAATTTTCTCATAGGTTTTAACGCGTGAATCAAAGTTGGCCTGTAAAGTTGCTTCATTCCATAAATGTCTAGTTGTGAATATATCTTTCTGAATTGATTTACCATACAAGGAATTACCTAATAATTTCATGCAGTTACTACCCACGATATTACCTTCTCGTTTATATTTATTTCTTAAATCTCTCAAAATTAAAATATAATCTCTAAAGGGTGGAGTTTTAAAATTTTCTTCGTAAACTATACCATCTAATATTCTAATAATTCGTCCACCGGCTTTCACTATTTCTTGAATATCGACCGATGTTAAAACGTCGTGACAGAAACCATTTCTGAACCTGATTTTGTTACCAGTTTCCTTTTTACCTTCTTTATTCGTGAAAGTGATTTTATCTTTAGCTGGTATCTTTTGGAAGAACATGTTTTTGGGATAGTCAAACCACACTGTTAAAATAGCTGTTCTAGGTCTGAATTTTTGTTTATTGAAGAGTTTTACAAATTCTTTTCTTCTTCTGGTAGAAACGCTCTTCCACTTTACGCTCTCGGATATTCACTGTCTAAATCCGACATGGCGGAAGCGTATAAACCGTTAGCATCAAATGCCATTAGTTTAGTACATTCTATTTTTTTAAGTCTCGAATGAACTTCCGTTTTGTCTTTTGTGCTAGCGCTGTATTCTTTGAATAAATCAATTATGTTATTACTTTCTGTTTGTGAAATATATTCCTTTAATACGTTACAAATTTCATCCATTTTGTTCGTTTCAAATGATTTTCTATTTGCCGAAACTCTTCCTCCTTTAATAGATCGTCTGATAAAATTTCTTATAAAAGGATTAGTGTGCGAATAAACTTTTTCTATATTTTCTTTTTCGGTATGTTTCGCAACCATTCTAGTAGTTTTATACCATTCTTCTTCCACCATTTCTTTATCGTAATGATATAAATAATACCAACCCTTTAAAGATAAAGATGGAGCCGTTAGATTATTGGACATATTCTGGTTTACAACTTCTTTCGTGACTTGGTTGTATTTTATCAAACAAGCTCCCAAACAGAGAGTGTCTCTCTTGGCGCAAGGTTCCCATTCGTGTCTCAATTCCTCCCAGTTGTCTCGCGTGTATTTAGTGATATCTACGTCGGCAATCTTTCTCAAATTCGCGGGAAGATTGGAAGAATTTCCCCATGCAGCCAAACTAGAGGATTCGTGTTGATAGGAACACGTGAAATTGATATGTTGTAAATAATTACCCTTTATTTCTTTCTGTCTTTTCCATTTTTTCTGTAAATCTTCATCCGTGTATGGATTAGATAAAGGAAAAGATAGAATTCCTCTGGGTGTTTTTAAAGGGCAATGCGTTAGTTTTTTTGCATTTTTAAGCACTATCCAGTTGTCGAAACCACTGCCGTTATGAGAAATTAATATTAATCTCTTTCTATCATATTGACCTAAATATTTCAACATTTGATCGATGCAATCTGTGCCTACAAATATTTCTACTATATTAGTCATGAGTTTGTTGTAAAATTCTTCTGGAATGGGATCTGACGGCTTTAAATCTGGAAAGAGATTATTTATTCTGTTTAACATTTTCCTTAGTTTTTCTAAATTAATTAAAGTGCAGGCATAAGGAATTGCTCTTCGCGTGTCTTTTTCTGAATACGTTTCGCAATCCCAAGCGAATAACGCATCATCACTCATACTCGAAAGCACGTTTAGTTTGAGGGGTGAAACTTGTGTTACTGCGTTATCGTCTCTACACGTTTTCCACACCTGTTCGTAATTGTCTTCTATTTCTTGAATTCCCAAACTTTTTTGGCTTCTTCTAATCAGACAGAAATGCGAGTTGTGTAAGTAAAAAACCCAATCTAATTCATCATGCACGTCTCTGGGGTGAAAATGTTTGTTTTGGGATTATAAATTTGAAACGAAGTGTTGAATTTCTTGTTGAATTCCTTCATTCTAGCACAAGTCATCACTCCTTTTCTATTTGCTTTTGAAAAACCGTTGATGTATTCTTGAAATTTACACGTTAAATCTTTGTTCAAAACACGATTGACGCATTTGATAAAACAGTGACCATCTGTAGGTATGAAACAATTTTTGCTTTCGTATTCATTTATCTTTTTAAGTAGATCAGTTCCTCCTCTACCAACTCTCGACCTTTTGATTTCTTGGAAATTGTCTTTCATTAAAATTATTTTTCCTGTAAAATACCAATCGGAAGCATCGGATTTTTTGTCCATATTTGAAAAGATATTGTGAGAGGTTTTGGCATTGAAACCGAGGAGTGACATGTATTGTCTGTGATTCCCTTCCTCGACTATCTCTCCATCTATTTTAATTTATCCTTTGAATGTTTTAAATTTATCAGAGATAGCCTTGATAACATCGGAAAATAGGGCGTTTTCTATCAATGTTTCATCAAGTTCGATTTTATTCATATTTTTTAAAGTATATATTTTTGATTATTTCTTTATTTTGACCGCTGATATTTCTGAATTTGTCCAAAATTTCATTGAATTCTTGTAATTCTTCAACTGTTATGTTCTTGTCTCCTCTCGATCTTTCGAAAAAGATGTACAATTGATTAAGATACATATTCAAGATATCCGCTTTCTTTTTATAATGAGCTTTCTTTTTGCTCGTGAAACCTAAAGTGATGAGGCCGCAAGAGGTCGTTTGAACGGCTGTTAATGCAGCCAATACGGTTGGGACGATGACTGGAAGCATTAATCCACCAGTCACGGCCGTTGCCACCGTTATTCCTACCGTTAGAACTGTGCTCGCTGTTTTGAAAAAAGAATCGATTCTACTCCATGTTTTCCTGCATGTATTACACTGTCTCAACTTTATTTTCAACTCTTCTTGTTTGTCTATCATGTATTGTTGTCTGCTTTCGAGTTCCATTTTTAAGTCGTTAAATTAAGTGAATTTCCGATAAATGGAACCACGGAATATCATTTAGATTCCCTATTCCATTCCTAACATTATTATATTTGTGGGTATTAAAAGTAAAAACATTTACGCGTACTAACGACATTTCTTTTTTCGTATGGTCCTCTTTAAGATGATAGAAATATTTTATTTTTTCTTTTTCGATGTTTATCTTGGCTCTAGAAATAAAACCACCACCTTCAAGGATGGAACCTTCGGCAAACGATAAATGTACTATAAACTCTTTTATGAACATCGATCGAGGTGTATTTTCCATCGTAAACAAAATACAGTTTTACGTATTCAAAGTCTGTTGTTCGTAAAAACTCGTGACTGCTCGATTCTATTGGTCCGGGTATTATAAGTGATGGTGGAATTTTGACAATGTTGGTTAATGGTGGATTTTCCGTCTCCAATATCATATCCAAATCTTTGATTTCAATGACATACTTATCATTTTCTACTTCCATTTTAAAGGTGTCTACATATTTACCATTTTTCGTTTCAATTTCCTGATCCCTTTTATCAATCAAACGTATATTCTCTTCCAAATTACCATCATTGAATAATGAAATATGTTTGACGGCCTTACCGGTTTGTTTGAAGACTACTTTATTGACTTTAACCTTCATGGGAAACTCTATTTGAATCAGACAATTACCTCGAAAAGTAAACGCTTGCGTTTCGCCGATATCGAATACGTTTTTAGGTTCTCCGTATTCGAGAGAACCCACTTTTATTTCTACTTTGAATCCGTATTTGTTTGATTTATAAATTTGGCCTTTTCTATCGAATACAGTGTCACTTTCGAATGGAAGATTGAAATAATACGATTTGTCCGTGACAATAGCTTCCAATTTGGTCAACTTTCTCTCTTATCTCAAAAAATCGTCATGAATTCTAGATACCAAAAGATTGACCTGTTCTTTAATATAATTTTTCATATCATCTCGAAATTTATGTTGAAGAAAGTTTTTAATCACACCCACTTCTTTTTCTAATTCGTCCGTGATTTTAGTATCCAAAGCAGTCAATTGATGTTTCAACGTATCTTTGTCAATGGGAAGTGTGTTAATTATATCTTGAACATCTGATTTTTGCTTCGCGATCTTTTTATTCAAATTGGATATCGAATTTTGTAACTCGGTTTTGTCGGCGGTCTTGTCTAGTTCTGCTAGCAATTCGCCAAGTTTTCTTACTAAAGCGATTAGTTTTCGTTTCAATCTATCCTCGTTTACATTTGGGTTGTCTATTAAACGTTGGACGTCTATTTTTACCTTCGTAATCTTATCGTCTAATTTAGATATTAAATTTTGCAACTGACTTGTTTTATCCACTTGAATAAGACGTTTCAAAATCGTTAACTCTTGTTGTAGTTTGGGTTCGTCCACAAGATTTTTAATATTTCGTCTGATGAATCTTTTCACGTCAGTTATTCTATTTTCAACATGGTCCTTATCTATTTGAATTGCGTTTATTTGATCCAGTAAATATTTCTTGTTCACGGCATCGTTATCGTTTCCTGGAAACTTTAAATTAGTTATTTTGAAATTGTTCATATCGATATCCCTTTGCAAGGTGTCTCCAATTTGATCCACGAAAAAAGGTTTCACTTTGTTTATAAACGCCGTAGAACTCATGGGATTTTTAGATTCTAGAGGTAAAGACCCTAAACCAAACTTGTTTGCCATTTTTATTGAGTTAAATTTATTATAATTTCTTCAAACTTTTCTCCCAAACTCAACCGATATAAAACCCAAAGCGACAGTTGTCCACACAGCTTTTGTCCTGGCATTTGAATTTGAAACGTAGAACATTTGATTGGTTTGCTAGTCAATTTCATTATCTCTTCTGTCGGTTCTAGACCGAAAGAATCAAAGAAATAAAAGTTATTCGAAGAATCTTTGTGTAGAGCAGAGTGATGAACTCCTTTTTGATCCGACGTATGAATGTTTGTGATTTACCTTTCTTGTATTTCAGTTCATCAATTTCATCTCGCATGCAATAATAAAACGGCGAGACGTTCAATTCCTTGGCCCATTTCACAAGTTGAAAATTTGTGGTCGTGTCTTTTCCGTATTTATCGAGAAATGCATTCATTTTTTAAGTTGATTTTTTTAGGTGTTTTTCGAAGTAGGCGGAAAGTATTGCTGAAGACCCAATTGACGAAATATATACGTAGTTTGTGTTTGAAAAAACTTGTATAACATTCTGATAAAACACATTCAATAATATTTTGAAGATAAATTTACATTCAAATTTAAAAAATCTTAATTTAAGAGAGCGTAAATGCTTGTCGACATCTAAATTTCTTAACCTTTCATCTAAATCTTCATTTTCGAGATTCATTTTTAAAAGTCAGTTTTTTGAAGTTCATTTTGATAAAACCTTCCTATGATGTTCTTTGTTTTGATTCAATTCATACGTGGGAGGTGATGTGTTGTTTACTTTATCAACGATGAATATCTCGTTAGTCCAATAGCCGACGTAACCTTTCTGAAACAATGATTTATATTCAAAAATACGAACTCGATCTCCAACTTTGAATTTGGGTTTAATATTCAAATTGCTAATCTCGTTTTCAAAGTTGTTTCGAGTGTTGACGGACTTTATGATATTCGGGTTATTAGAGGATAGGGATGGCGTCACACCTATAGACGAATGTATTTTGTTATTGTATTCGTCGACAACAACTGGTAATATTTTAAGCCATTTTTGAGATTTCAATTCCGTGAATTTCTTGAATTATTTGCTTTTAAGAGTCCTGTTGAATCTTTCTATCACTACGGCTTTACCTTCGTTATGCGTGCTGTAAATTTCAAACCCCAGAGATTTCACATTTCTGTTGTAGAATTCGCTTCCTTTATCAACCCACAACTTTAGGGGTCGTCTGTCGGATTATTTCATTATGGTTTCGAATGCTTGTTTGACAGTCAGACCCGATTTGTTTTTCAAGGGAAAGACCCAAGCGTATCTCGTGTATAAGTCGATCACCGTCAAACAATACTTGTACCCTCTCTCGACTGGCATGTTGATTAAATCAGCTGACCAAATTTCATCTTTATCAAAAACTTTGACTTTGAGGTAATGTTTGTTTTTTCGAAATTCTTTGTGAATCTCGTCTGCTATGCCCATACCCAATTTCAATTTTGCCTTCAAGAGTTTTATGATAAGAGCCCTTTGTAATTTCTCTTTGAAAGTGGGATTGGGAATATTTTCGAGTTCGTCTATCATTTGTTTGTCTGCTTGGTGTCTGAATGTTACGTCTTTATTTCTGTACAGTATGTCGTGTTTGAGCGCTGCTGCGTCAACTCTATTAACGGGTTCTTCCCCTGGTTTGGGATTATCATTTTCGTCTAAACGCAGATCTAACCTAGTGCCTGGACCTGTATAATTGTGCCCTGGGAGATGTTTTTCTCCGAGATATTTTGCCCATGGGAATCAAGGAAGAGAACCCAATGACTTTTGAATGTCTCCCGCACCGAAATACGTTTTAGGAGGATGGACATTTATTAAAGACATATTTGTTCAATAAACACCATATATTTCTAATACGAAAGATTTAATACAAGGAGGAAATTTGTTGTTTGAGACAAAATTGGCCACTTTGGGGATGAGAGATGTCAGCGCAGAGAAGAAACCGTCTCCTTCGAATTTTTTTTGTTCGTGTTTTAAAATTAAAGACATTTTTAATGCGGTTATTTTTTACTGTATTATTATAGTGATTCTTGTCTGTGGTTTGGGTAATTTATATGGAGTCTGTTATAATACAGTTTGGAGGAGTCTGTTATAATACATTTTTAACAGTTTGGGGAGTGTGTTATAATACATTTTAACAGTTGTGTCTTTTCGGATATGACGCATTGAAAAAAGCTGCGCATGCGCAGAAGTGAAATGCGTCATATCCGAAAAGACATATACTACTAACTAATACCCATAGGACTATAAAACTAAGACCAATACGATTATAAAACTAATACCCATAGGACTATAAAACTAAGACCCATAGGATTATAAAACTAATACCCATAGGGCTATAAAACTAAAGCCCATAGGATTATAAAACTAAGACCCATAGGATTATAAAACTAACACATAGGGCTATAAAACTAAAGCCCATAGGATTATAAAACTAATACCCATAGGGCTATAAAACTAATACCCATACGATTATAAAACTAAGACCCATAGGATTATAAAACTAATACCCATAGGATTATAAAACGAATACCCATAGGACTTTAAAAACTAAGATCCATAGGATTATAAAACTAAGACCCATAGGACTATAAAACTAAGACCCATAGGACTATAAAACTAATACCCATAGGACTATAAAACTAATACCCATAGGACTATAAAACTAATACCCATAGGACTATAAAACTGATAACCATAGGACTATAAAACTAATACCCATAGGACTATGAAACTAATACCCATAGGACTATAAAACTAATACCCATAGGGCTATAAAACTAATACCCATAGGATTATAAAACTAATACCCATAGGACTATAAAACTAATACCCATAGGATTATAAAACTAATACCCATAGGACTATAAAACTAATACCCATAGGACTATAAAACTAATACCCATAGGACTATAAAACTAATACCCATAGGGCTATAAAACTAATACCCATAGGATTATAAAGCTAAGACCCATAGGATTATAAAACTAATACCTATAGGGCTATAAAACTAATACCCATAGGATTATAAAACTAATACCCATACGACTATAAAACTAATACCCATAGGACTATAAAACTAATACCCATAGGACTATAAAACTAATACCCTTAGGACTATAAAACTAATACCCATAGGACTATAAAACTAATACCCATAGGATTATAAAGCTAATACCCATAGGATTATAAAACTAATACCCATAGGATTATAAAACTAATACCCATAGGACTATAAAACTAATACCCATAGGACTATAAAACTAATACCCATAGGATTATAAAACTAATACCCATAGGACTATAAAACTAATACCCATAGGACTATAAAACTAATACCCATAGGACTATAAAGCTAATACCCATAGGATTATAAAACTAATACCTATAGGACTATAAAACTAATACCCATAGGATTATAAAACTAAGACCCATAGGATTATAAAACTAATACCCATAGGATTATAAAACTAAGACCCATAGGATTATAAAACTAATACCCATAGGATTATAAATTAATACCCATAGGACTATAAAACTAATACCCATAGGACTATAAAACTAATACCCATAGGATTATAAAACTAATACCCATAGGACTATAAAAGTAAGACCCATACGATTATAAAACTAATACCCATAGGACTATAAAACTAATACCCATAGGACTATAAAACTAATACCCGTAGGACTATAAAACTAATACCCATAACATTATAAAAATAATACCCATAGGACTATAAAACTAATACCCATACGACTATAAAACTAATACCCATAGGATTATAAAACTAATACCCATAGGACTATAAAGCTAATACTCATAGGATTATAAAACTAATACCCATAGGACTATAAAACTAATACCCATAGGATTATAAAGCTAATACTCATAGGATTATAAAACTAATACCCATAGGACTATAAAACTAATACCCATAGCATTATAAAGTAATACCCATAGGACTATAAAACTAATACCCATAGGACTATAAAACTAATACCCATAGCATTATAAAACTAATACCCATAGGACTATAAAACTAATACCCATAGGACTATAAAACTAATACACATAGGACTATAAAACTAATACCCATAGGACTATAACACTAATACCCATAGGACTATAAAACTAATACCCATAGGACTATAAAACTAATACCCATAGGACTATAAAACTAAGACCAATAGGACTATAAAACTAATACCCATAGGACTATAAAACTAAGACCAATAGAACTATAACACTAACACCCATAGGACTATAAAACTAATACCCATAGCACTATAAAACTAATACCCATAGGACTATAAAACTAAGACCAATAGGACTATAAAACTAATACCCATAGGACTATAAAACTAATACCCATAGGACTATAAAACTAATACCCATAGGACTATAAAACTAAGACCAATAGGATTATAAAACTAATACCCATAGGACTATAAAACTAATACCCATAGGACTATAAAACTAATACCCATAGGACTATAAAACTAAGACCAATAGGACTATAAAACTAAGACCAATAGGACTATAAAACTAATACCAATAGGACTATAAAACTAATACCCATAGGACTATAAAACTAAGACCAATAGGATTATAAAACTAATACCCATAGGACTATAAAACTAATACCCATAGGACTATAAAACTAATACCCATAGGACTATAAAACTAAGACCAATAGGACTATAAAACTAAGACCAATAGGACTATAAAACTAATACCCATAGGACTATAACACTAATACCCATAGGACTATAAAACTAATACCCATAGGCCTATAAAACTAATATCCATAGCACTATAAAACTAATACCCATAGGACTATAAAATTAATACCCATAGGACTATAAAACTAAGACCAATAGGACTATAAATCTAATACCCATAGGACTATAAAACCAATACCCATAGGACTATAAAACTAATACCCATAGGATTATAAAACTAATACCCATAGGACCATAAGATTTTATA